TCAAAATTTCCGCTACCGGTTCGCCCGGACTGATCTGAACCAGTTCAATACCGCCTCTGATCCAGTTTCTTAAAAACAAACCAAAATATGAATCTTGGCTTCTTCCTCTGAAGTGTCTTTTCTGCACAAAATTTTCCCGTGCCAGTGATTAATGCACATCAGAGGCAGAATATGTTCAGAATGTTTCATATAAATTATCTACTTGTATATTACAGCTCTATAACATCGTTCAGAATTACTGTCCCTATTTTGCAAATTGTTTCTGGGCAGAGAATGGCAGCTGGTGCAAAACTAACTCCCAAGATCGTGACCGAAATTAGGTTTTAACTTGACAATGCAAGTCACAATCTTATTTATGACCAACAGCCATGCTCCGCTTTTAACCAGGGAACATAACCTATCATCAATTTTATACGTAAGATTTCAGAAAACACCCTGATAATCCTGCATTCCATGTTCAGTGCCCTAAGTGTCTTCCTTGTTAGATGGGCAGAGAATAGCTTGAAATAATGGGTGGAAATAGAGTGGGTTGCATTTATAATGAATAAACCAAAAAGGTAAATGAGATAACCTCATGTTGTGGAGATGTTTTCCTATTTAAACTGTGTGTTCAGCCTGATAATTGAGATTTTTCTTCCCAGATGCCTTTAACTGTTTGGGAGGGGGTGAAAATGGCTCTATAAATTACCAAAGCTTCTCATTTTCTCTCCATTTTGCATATTTCGTTTATAATCATCACTGAACCTTTTGATGAACTCTTCTTATTAAGCCTGAAGCAAGTTAGTTCTATGCTTTTCTCTGCAAAAAAAAAAAAAAACAGTGAGAGGGCTATCTTGCCCACAGTTGCTAAGCAGAAGGAAACAGACAGTTTCTCAAAGTGAAATGACGTCTTTTCAAGCACCCAAAAAGCACTTCCACTTCAAAGAATCTCATCAGCCATATTATTCTGTCTCTTGAATCTGCCTATCTTCTCTTATGGAAGAAACAATTTGGAAGACTCACAACATAAATCAGGGACCGGGAACACAAGGGAGATCACCAGGGCACCAGATTTATGATTGCTGTGTGTTGAAGAGATATCTCTTTGCTGCCAAAGGAAATCAAGTATATTGAGGTATTGGTTCATGTATGGTATAAGGGGAGAAATGACAACCACAGTATAAATGAAAGCATCCTGAGAAACTTGTCAATCACTGCAGGAAGAAATGGAAAAAGGGCCATGAGTGAGAGGAAATAATTAAGTGTGGAGTACAATCCTTGTATGGAGACACATCAGATTCGATCTAGGCCCATGATGGCAAACCTATGGCACGTGTGCCACAGATGGCACGCGGAGCCATATCTGTGGGCATGCGACTGTTGCCCTACTCAGCTCCAGTATGCATGCATGCACCGGCCAGCTGAGTTTCAGGCATTCCGGGTCCACCGGAAGTCGGGAAATAGGCTGTTTCCAGCCTCCGGAGGGCCTCTGGGTGGGTGGGGAAGACCATTTTTGCCCTCACCAGGCTCCAAGAAAGCCTCTGGAGCCTGGGGAGGGTGAAAAATGGGCCTACCAGGCCCACCAGTAACCTTTTTGCTGTCGCGTACCAAGAGCGGGGAGAGCACGAGGGGGGATTGTGCGCACATGCACGGGGGGGCATGGCATGGGGGGCATTGAATTATGGGTGTAGGCATGTGTGCATGCAACCCCCCCACACGCTCCCCCACGCTTTTGGCACGCGACGGCAAAAAGGTTAGCCATCACTGATCTAGGCTAATGAGAAGGGTTAGTGTTGATTATAACAAGACGTTATAACAAGAGATAAATGGCCTCATTCACCAAGTCTGTCCTTTCAAAATCAATGGGATAATGGATCATAACTGTCTTACAGTCATGATTGGGTATGTGTAACTAGGCTAAAGTAGGTGTGCTATGTGTAGAAGGATTGGAAACCAGTTGTATTCAACTTGGCAACTTTAAGATGTGTGGACCTCATTTCATTTTCATTTATTTATTTTGTCAAGCATCTATTAGATAACAGATATAAGTAAAAACATGATTATGAATACATGAAATGGATACGAATAAAAGGGGACATTAGGACAGGGACGGTAGGCACGTAGGTGCACTTATGCACGCCCCTTACAGACCTCTTAGGAATGGGGTGAGGTCAACAGTAGACAGTCTAAGGTTAAAGTTATGGGGGTTTGGGGATGAAACCACAGAGTCAGGTAGTGCATTCCAGGCATTAACCACTCTGTTGTTGAAGTCATATTTTCTGCAATTGAGTTTGGAGCGGTTTACCTTAAGTTTGTATTTATTGTGTGCTCGTGTATTATTGCGATTGAAGCTGAAGTAGTCATTGACAGGTAGGATGTTGTAGCAGATAATTCCATCTCCCAGAATTTCTCAGTCAGTAGGTTATACTCAAACATGTTGTTTTATTTTTACCTTTTTTCAAATGTCCCAAAGAAGTAGGAACATGTTGTCTAGCCTCACACAGCTAGACAATATCAAGGAAGCAAGAACTACAGATTTTAGTTCTTGGCATTTACTCCAGATGCTAATCTGGAGTAAATGCAGGACCTTGCCCATTGCTTTATTTACAGTGTCTTCAATTAAGGCCACACATTTTTAATACTTTGAAGTGCTTCTTCCCAGCATTCCTGTCACCTAGAACGAATTGCCATTTACGAGATGATTGTCAACTGATTTTCCTTCTATCTCTTCATTACTTATGTCTCCTCTCTTTTCCAGCCTTTCCATAATCTCCCAGTTAGCGATCTTCTGAAATTGCCAGAAAGTTAACAGAGCTTTCCAAAAAAGCAGAAGTAGGATTTGCACAATCTATACATTAGAGCAGAATGGAAAAGCAGGATTTCCCCATTCTCCAAGATCAGCTACAAAACTAATTTGGTTTTTTTTTAAAAAAAAGTTGCTTTTCAAAGTTTTCTTTGGAAAAAGACCATTTTCAGATCACCGAGAGTCACAACCATTTAGGCCACTAGAGTTCTATAAGTGGCTTATGTAATACTGAAATAAGACTTTTAAATCTATCAAATATCTGCATTGCCCATGTTTTACCAGTCAATCTCTTGACCAGCAAATCCATGTCTTTACCCTTCTACCCTGATACTATTCTAGTGTCATTTGTTGTTTGGACTTGTACTCACCATGGAGATGCACTTGAAAAATGATAAAGCCAGAAAAAAAAAACTTGACATATCTTACCTAGTAGATGTCTCTTACCAGAAAATGAGAAGTTAGTCTCAATATTTTTTTCAAGAGGTTTTTTGCAGACACACAAAAACAAAAGCCAATGCAGTCCTAGGTTCCATAAACAGAGGGATAGTATCAAGATCATGTAAAGTGACCGTGCTACTTTATACTGCACTAGTGACACCACACTGTTGTGGCTCCGTTACCAGAGCCTGTGTCATCATCAGGAGAGGACTCCGAGAGTGAAGGGGAGGAGTTGGCAAGGCCTCCCTCTCCAGGACCCTCCTCTCTCGCAATGCCTTCGGTGTCCGCCGAAGGGCAAGAGATAGGGCCAGGGCCAAGCACGTCCACACAGCCACAGATGGACAGTGATGAGGGTAATGAGTCTTGGCTGGACCCACGCCAGCATCAAAGAGATAAGCGCGCGCAACAGAAGAAAGGGCGTGCCCGAGATTAGGCTAAGTCACTGGACCACACCCCACAGGATATAAAAGGGAGTGTGGTGGCCAGTCAAACCTTGTGACGAACAAAGCTGAAAGCTTCCACGCCATTCTGCATTGCCGGACTTTTGCTTTAAGACTTGATGGGATTATCTCTGGACTTGATTGTAATTATTGAGCTGCTTTCCTTTGATGTATCAGAAGTGGGGAGAAGTTATCTCTCCTCTTTGTAAATAATAAACTCTTGGCAGGCAGCCACTAGGTTGTTGCCAAGTTCCGTTATCATAAGGAAAAGGATTTTGCCGGCTGGTTTGGTCTTTAACTCCTGAACATCTGTTAGTGTGTGTGCGTGGGGTTGGGGACAGAACACACACGTGGACTACTGTGTCCAGTTCTGGTCACCATAATACAAAAAAGATGCTAAAAGTCTAGAAACTGTGAAGAGAATCCTGCAGATTCGGACTATTTGCTGGTATTTTGTTTTAGGTATATGTCACTGTTTCCATTTTTTTATACTTATGCTTCAGTTTGTTAGAAAGCTCTTTGTGCAACCATGCTGGTCTTGCCTGGTGTCTTTTATTTTTCTTCCTGTGTTTTAATTTGGGCTTAAAGTTCCCTCAAAGTTCCTACAACTTCCACTCCCTCAATCATTTCATCCCCATCAGTTAGGATTAATTCCAGTATAGCTGACCCTCTAGTACAGTTTGAATCACAAACATCAAAATGACAAAAGGGGCAAGACTTTGATAATCCTGGAAGACACAACTTTTTTTTAAAAAAAAAAGTTTTTTTTAATCCGGCCTTTATTATTTTTTATAAATAACTCCCATCAAACATGTCTAATACTCCTTCCATCTCCTATTTTCCCCACAACAAATCTGAGAGGTAAGCTACACTGAAAGATAGTGACTAGCCCAAAGTCACCCAGCAGGCTTTCGTACCTAAAATGGGGCTAGAGCTCACAGTCTCCTAGTTTTCCAGTCTGATGCCTTAACCACTGGACCAAACTGGCTGTTTGACCCTCTTATATGTGGCCCTGCTAAACTGGTACATGAAAATTGCTTCAGCAATCATCTCCTTTCTCTTGAGGGGACGGTGAATTATAATTGTTCAAAGAAAAGAGCCTACAAAATACAATAGACACTGTAAAATAACAGCTGTATGAGTTTATAGAGGCAAAAATTAGGAATTTGGCAGCATCTCTTCCAAATCATATTTTTATTAAAAGCTTAAAAGCCTTTTACTTACATCTTTAAGTAAAATTTGCTAGTCAGAAAAGGTGATACAAGATTGACCAATGAAACCCCTAAACTATTCTACAATGAACGAGATTAGGTGCATGGGAGAGTAGGGGAGCTAGAGAAAAATGGAACAAACCTGATGTGCATTTTCTCTCCTACAGACAGACAAAAACACACGTCAGTTTCTGATCCGGCTTTTTTTAATGAATTTCCGAGAGAATAAATCTTCTGATTTCCATGGACTTTTTTCAGATTAAAAAGGTAGAGCAAGACGGTTGCATCAATGTTGATGAAGAGAGCATTCTAACAATCCGAAAGCAGTGGCTCAGAAATGTGAGTGAGCAGCACTGAGGTTTTTTAAAAGCTACATGGAGTCAAAATCTTGTTTCTGTTTTTCCTCAGGGGTCCAGCATCTCCTGCAGATCTGTCTCCCCAAGCCCCTCGCTGCGTAATTGCTTCACCTGCAGACTGTGAGGGAAGATCGCCATCTACTGAAGAAAGCCTTCGAGGCTGGAGTGATTTTCCTCACTGCCTTGCTTGCCCCTGTTTAGCTGGCAAGCAGGGAACCGAAGCTGCCATTGCCGCTGTTTGAACACCAAAGCGATGGAGGAGGGGAGCAATTCCGAAAAGTAAGCAGTAGGGCCCTTAAAACGGCCATTCTTGCCCATGACATTAAATCACTCCATCGTTGATGTCCTACAGCTCAGCTTTCTTTTTGCATTGTGCAGGATTGGGGGGTGTTTATTTTTATTTAACAAAAAGGTTGGGATGTATATTGGCATGGGGAAGTCCAGCACTTTAAGGAAAGTCTTTTTTTTTTTGTAACTGAGGAAGAAAAAATTGATCGGCCCTTTTCTGAGGGACTGGGGGGAAAAAATATCTGCAGAGCGATGCTTGTATTCATCCAAATGGGCGCCTGCTGCTTTGTTATACAGCATGAGCCATGCCTTTTGTTTGATTTTCAATTTTTTTTTTTAATGTTTATTCCACTTAATCAATAGCTTGGTTGCATGTCATATTCAGGTCTGACACAAAATTATTTTCTTCCCAAAGAATGATCAACCATTTGCTCTGTAAATAATCCCAGGCTCCCTTTAATTAACATGCCAGAAAGTTTCCATTCTGTCTGATGCAGATCATCAACACCCAGGAGAAATCAATACGCTGCATTTGATGTTACTCACCTGTTATATTCCCAGGCATGGTTTGGCTTCATTTGGTCAACTTTTCTTGAGGGAGGGAGGGAGGGAGGGAGGGAGGGAGGGAGGGAAGAAAGACATTCATTTGAGTAAAATATACAGGACAAGAATAAAGGAAAACATTTAGCAAGTGGTTATCATTGCAAATCTTCTCCCTACATATCAGAGGTGGGATTCACTTATCTTCCCTACTGGTTCGCAAATGTGAGCACATGCGTCACCTTTGCGCATGCGCACAGCCTTCTGCACATGTGCAATAGTCACGCATTATGTCCAGGTGAGTGAGCGGAGCATCCCGCAGTCGCCGCTACCGGTTCGTGCGATCCGGACAGAATCGGCTGAATCCCACCACTGCTACATATCCATAACCAACCTTTCAACTTGTTTTGAGACTGAAATAAATTTATCAGAATTAAACCTGATAAATAAATAAAAGTTTTGTATTGAACATTCACCTCAGAGAACTGGGTACACAAATGGGAGGGGAGTAAGATTATCAGTGAAAGAATATAAAAGATGTAGAGATTGTGGGAATAAAATCCCCCTCAGTACGTTCCCGCCATCTTTTCTTTTAGTATGCCTCTCAGAAATGCGTGCCACTTCCTAAGGTAGGTGGTGTGACCAGAGGAATTCAACAAAGTTTGTGGCGCTTATTCTGATGGATAATAATGATGGAAGTTCGCCTTTATTGAATTTGAACGCAACAGAGTATTTCACTTTGTTTTCTTTCATTACTGTTCAACTTGGTGGAATGAATTAATGAGCCCTAAGACCAACAGGTAAGAAACATGGAGGATGAAAATCAGGAAGGAACAGTGTCAGCGTTCTGAATATAAAAGTGAACCAACAATGGGAAGCTTTGGATAAAATGAATCCAAAATGCAGCATTACTGTCTCGCTTCAATGGGAAATAAAGTCTATTCCATAGTCTTTGAAAACTTATTGGCAAAAAGAATGATTTTTCCATAGTCTATGCTTCAAATACCCTGCCAACAAAAGTGCGTATAGTCAAGGCTATGGTTTTCCCAGTTGCAATGTATGGCTGTATAAGTTGGACCATAAGGAAGGCTGAGTGCCAAAGAATTGAGGCCTTTGAACTATGGTGCTGGAGAAGACTCCTGCGAGTCCCTTGGACTGCAAGGCGATCCAACTGGTCAGTCCTAGAGGAGATCAACCCTGACTGCTTTTTAGAAGGCCAGATCCTGAAGATGAAACTCAAATACTTTGGCCACCTAATGAGAAGGAAGGACTCACTGGAGAAGAGCCTAATTCTGGGAATGATTGAGGGCAAAAGAAGAAAGGGACAGTAGAGAACGAGGTGGCTGGATGGAGTCACTGAAGCAGTAGGCGTGAGCTTAAATGGACTCCAGAGGATGGTAGAGGACAGGAAGGCCTGGAGGAACGTTGTCCATGGGGTCGCGATGGGTCGGACATGACTTCGCAACTAACAACAAATGCTTCAAATATTTTCTATATATAAAATATGTAGAAAATGTCGACTTTTTATTCTTGGCTTATTGTGAGTTAAACCCTTGGGCTTTCTAAAATTGTAGCAAGCATCCATTGCTTGTATTTGTACCCCATGGTCTGAAATTCAGTCATCACTCCAATATACTGAAATACCATCACGTAACTAGTACATGAAACAACCTTAATTTTAATAAACATTTGTTTGCAGTTTTTGCTGCAGTATTGCAGTAGTATTCAATCCTAAACAAGACAAAACAGTATAAAGGTATCTTGTTTCTTTCTCACTCTCAGTCTGCTGGGAAAAAAACAACAGAGCAGCAAACCAAACTTGGACATTGTATGGATTTTGATGTATCCCACCCACATCCTAGCTCATTTTGTTTTTAAATATGTAAGCATACGTCACAGCATACTTCTGTGGCTGAAAATGCCCCCTTTTCAAGCTAGTGCAAATTGATGATCCTGAGCAGAAGGCAGCAGAAATCCATTTTTTTTTGTCAGAAAGAATACACTTCAGTACTGTATTTTTCGGAGTATAAGATGCACCGGACTATAAGACACACCCACCTTTTTTGGTGAGGAAAACAAGAAAAAGAAATCTGCCTCTGCCTCCCAGTAATTTTGCCTCATTGCACCAAACAGCAAACAGCCTGCTTTACTTTCATTTTCGTTTTCAGCATACTTGATTAGCACAAGGAAACAAAAATCTGCTCCAGCAATTTACCTCCTTGCAGCAAGCAGCAGAGGCCCCCACAAAACAGCTGAGAGCAAAACAGCTGAGAGTCGGGAGGCCGATCCAATCAACTTGTGCTAATTAGGCTGTGCTGAAGCTGAAAGGAGTTGTTTCTTCTTGCTGCTTGCTGCAAGGAGGTAACCGCTGGGAGGCAGAGGCCAAACGGTGGGGGCCAGTGGGTGGGTGGGGCTACATTTGGTGTATAAGACACACTGAAATTTTCACCCCCTTTTGGGGGGGGAAAGGTGTGTCTTATACGCCAAAAAATACGGTAAATCTTCTATTATTTATATCAATCTAGCAATATAAGAGGAGACCTCTATTTGCAATGGGATTTCTCATCATTCTATGGGTAGCCTAAATATACTTCAAAGAGTCATCTACATCTCAGAAAATAAACTGAGATGTATGTAATATATACCAGGTGTCAGGAATCTGTGGCCAAAGGTAGAGAGACAGTTTGGTGTAGTGGCTAAAGTGTTGGTCTAGAAAACAGGAGACTGTGAGTTCAAGTCCCATCTCAGGCATGTAAAATTGGCTGGGTGAATTTGTGCCAGTCACTCTCTCTCAGCCCAACACACAGGATTATTGTTGTGCAGAAAATAGGAGAAGGGTGGTTTATTTCAGCTGCATATTTTAAAACAAGTGGGATAAAAATCTTTAAAAATGGGAGATATGATTTGGAAAAATGCAATCAAATTTTATATGCAGTTTTATTTCTGCTATACTAGGTATTTTATTCAGTTCTTTAATATTAAAAGAAGTTATCTATCGTAATCATCTGGCTTAGGTTCTAACCAGGGGTGAAATCCAGCAGGTTCTGACAGGTTCTGGAGAACCGGTAGCAGAAATTTTGAGTAGTTCGGAGAACCGGCAAATACCACCTCTGGCTAGCCCCAGAGTGGGGTGGGAATGGAGATTTTGCACTATCCTTCCCCCAGGAGTGGGGAGGGAATGGGGATTTTGCAGTATCCTTCCCATGGAGTGGGGAGGGAATGAAGATTTTGCAGTATTCTTCCCCTGCTATGTCCACCACTAGTAAATAGTAAACCACTATGCCCACAGAACCAGTAGTAAAAAAAATTGGATTTCACCACTGGTTCAAACCTATTAAAGCACCAATTTAAAGTACAAAAATGGTGATTTGAGTAGATCCAATTTGTGCTACTAAGCATCTTAGGTAGATAGAGATCTGAGAGAGAATCCAAAATATCATTTCATTTTGTAACACATGTGTAATTCAAATAGAGTTTTAATTAACTGTCTACTTAATTGACCAGCTTGCTAATGTAAATAGGCACATAAGTATATAATGTCAAAAAGTATTACTATATACAACATTTATTTTTAAAAACAACTGTCTTAGCACTTAAGCATATAAATCTAACCATCCTGAATGAAACCAAGACCAGCCCTGGTCCAATATTTTTTTTCTCTAAAATAGTCAACCAGATATTCTGAGGTAATAGCAAAAGGAGGTGAAAATATTTTCCTCTCCCACAACTGTTACATTGTTGTAGCATTGTTGATTTACCCTATCACCTTAAAGTGTTTACTCAATTATCTTGAACTGCCTATATATATTTTAATTTTTGCAAACTCAGTGGAGTTAGTTATTCTGGAAAAAGCTTCGGTATGAACAAGTAAAAATATATATACCCTGACTCAAGTATCTTTTCATAGATCAATGAAAAAGACAAAATACTGTCCACTTTCTCCATGGTCCATGATTTTTGTTGTTGTTTTTAATCATTTAATTGTGTCTGACTCTTGGTGATTTTATAGGCAAGTGTTCTCCATGCTACTCTGTCAAGCACATGACTTTATATACTTATAATCAGGGGTGGACTGCTGGGGGTTCGGGAGAACCTCTAGCTAAGATTCTGTGCAATTCGGAGAACCCCCCCAATCCAATTCCTGGCTGGCCCCATCCACCCCGCCCCTCCCAGGAGTTTCCGTAGGGCATGCGGGGAGGCTTGGGGAGGGCAAAAAAGGGGCCTACCTGAAGTTCGGGAAGGCCAGGAACAGGCCTCCAGAGGGCCTCCGGAGCCTGGGGAGGTCATTTTCACCCTCCTGGAAGCTCAAGGAAAGTCTCCAGAGCCTGGGGAGGGCAAAAATGCTGCCAACGCCGACACCATGGTGCAGGAGGAGGATTAGGCCACGCCCACTATGGCCATACCCACCCAGCAACTGGGCAGAGAACCGCTTGCTAAAATTTTTGAAGCCC